CACCCATGGTATTTATTTCTGCCTGTCTTAAATTTTTGTATGCATTTCTGCCTCATTATGCAAATGAGGAGGGGCTGTGTCTCAAGGGGTCATCTTCTCTGCTATTGGTGGACCAGTCAGACAGGAGAGCTCCTACTCTGCCTGCAGACATCAACGATCTTGCCCCTCACACAGTCAGATGGCTTCCTTCAGTGCGCTGAGGTGTTTAACAACTCTGAAGACAATACTACCAGCAATGTCTTCCTTCTCTTTTCACGTAGACGCCCGACAGACAGTGCTTTCAGTTTGCTGCATGCATGGACACAGAACTGCGGTATAGGGAGAAGCACACGGTCAGCTGGCTGCAGCTAAATCTGGAGTGCACTCGTATTCAATTCTGTATGGTAAATTCAGTTTTAACGGAGCAGAGCGAGCTGACAGGCAGAGTTAGAGACTTTTTCTGTCTGTTTCTCTCTTTACAAAGACGCATGTTGCAGTCAGAGTCTTCTCTGAGATGCGAGCACGACATACAACACAATTTATCAAATTACACAACGGATATACAGTATGAAAATAAGATTGATTGGATTATACTCACAGGAAGTATAAAACCTCTTACATGGGTCTATTAAAAGTAAAGTAACACAAAAATGTCAGGGAAATTACTTTACTTAGATTTAAGTACTGCAGTTGTACATTTGAAATACCTTCCTACCTTTCTGATAGGAAGCCTTCTTGAGGTGGTATAAAACATTTCTTCTTATATTCTGATTTGAGTTGTGGACAACTATGACCACATGAATTAAAAAAACATTTCACTGCCCAAGTCAGCTATAACACAAGTCTTGATCATCAGACTACATGCTGTACAGTATTTGTGGACAGATTTTGTCCCAGGATTTCTTATGCATTTCTTCTTCTTCGTTGCATGATTTAGAATAATAAGGTGAGAAATGGGTCTATTCTGAGTTCATCCTGCACTGCAGCAGCTAATAAAGTCCATTTAATCCCAAAACGCTTTTCTTTTAGGCAGGCTGGAGCAGAAAACAACTCACCTTTCTCAAGTTGTACAGTAATGTCACATGTGTATGAAGGTGGATCAAACAAGCTAATCTTAAATGTCAAAGTAGAGAGGAGCCTAGTAGGCCTATTTATTTTCATTCATTACACAATATGAATAAGCTATGCAGACAGTTGTAAAGAAAGAACATCTTTTTCTTCTGTTCTCTACTTGTTATAGTTACACAGTATTAGGGGTGTGGGCTGTATTAAAAGTATCCACTGTTCTCCCATGCTCTAACACACAGTAACGATGAAATGTGTGCTGTTCTCACATTCTTCCTCTGTATGTACACATAAACAACAAGGCAGGGAAATATAAAAGGAATTTATTTTATTGTTTGGGTACATTATTGTTCAGTGTACATGCTCACATCTGAAACAAACTTTACGTGCTTGATAACTCTCCCACCCCGCAGACATCTACACGTCAATACCGATTTATATTCATAGCGGCAAGTGCTATGTAGCTCCACATAGGGGACACAGGAAGTGACATATAGCACATTCATGCGGCGTCATAACCGCGTAGGAAATTCACAGCCGCACCGGCAGAGCTCCAGAATATGCAACTCGGCCGGCTCACGCGCGGACGCGCTACTAGTGCGAGGGCCCGCCCAACGCTGCTTGCAGCTTTAATTTTTTTTTATTTTTTTTTTTCTGCAAAGTAGGCCCAAATGACATGGCCTAAACATACTCGAAAACTCACCAAAATTTGCAAACATGTCAGAACCGGTGAAAAATTTCGTATTCTACAAGTTTCGCACATGGGCGTGGCAAAATGACTCGCTAGCGTCACCTAGAAAATTGGAAATGATTAGCCCCTCGTTCACGTTCAACCTACATGTACGAAATTTTCTGGGGACATGTATCGTATCAAGACGCACAAAAAAGCCTCAAGAACCCATAGCCTAAAGTCAACAGGAAGTCGGCCATTTTGAATTTTACGGCCATTTTTGGATGATTTACACACTTCGTACTTTAACGAACTCCTCCTAGGGATTTAGTCGGATCGACGTCAAATTTCTGCTGTGCCTTCTAAAGGCATTGACGATGAAAAGTTGTGCTATTTGCGCGTTTTCGTCAATGGGCGTGTCCGTGGCGTCGATGATTCGCCATGAAACAGGAAGTTGTCGTAACTTCAGTGTACATGCTCACATCTGCACCAAACTGTACATGTAGGATGAGAGTCCCGCCCTGAACACATGTACATGCTGACATTCACCCACAGTCATAGCGCCACCTGCTGGCAACAGGAAGTGACATTTAACGAAGCAGCCCCCGCCGCACGTTTCACCTACGTGCACGAATTTTCTGTGGTACGTGTATCTTGTCCAGACGCACAAAAAAGTCTCTTGGAGCCATAGCCTAAACCCAACAGGAAGTCGGCCATTTTGAATTTTACGGCCATTTTTGGATGATTTACACACTCCGTACTTTAACGAACTCCTCCTAGGGATTTAGTCCGACCGACTTCAAATTTCTGCTGTGCCTTCTAAAGGCATTGAAGATGAAAAGTTGTGCTATCTGTGAATTTTCGTCAATGGGCGTGTCCGTGGCGTGGCGTCAAAGATCAACTCTTCGCCACGACACAGGAAGTTGTTGTAACTTCAGTGTACATGCTCACAACTGAAACAAACTTTACGTGCTTGATAACTCTCCCACCCCACAGACATCTACACGCCAATACCGATTTATATTCATAGCGGCAAGTGCTATGTAGCTCCACATAGGGGACACAGGAAGTGACATATAACACCTTCATGCGGCGTTGGAACCACGTAGGAAATTCACAGCAGCACCGGCAGAGCTCCAGAATATGCAACTCGGCCAGCTCACACGCGGACGCGCTATAAGTGCGAGGGCCCGCCCAACGCTGCTTGCAGCTTTAATTTTATATACGCTTCCTTTAGGCAATATTATTCAATTCAATTCAATTCAATTTTATTTATATAGCGCCAAATCACAACAACAGTTATCTCACAGCGCTTTTCATAAAAGAGCAGGTCTAGACCATACTCTGTGATGATATTTACAGAAGCCCAACAGTTCCCACCAAGAGCAAGCACTAGGCGACAGAGGTAAGGAAAAACTTCCTTTTAAGAGGCAGAAACCTCGAGCAGAACCATGGCTCAGGGTGGGCGGCCATCTGCCTCGACCGGTTGGGGTGAAGGGGAGGGAGAGAGAGAGAGAGAGAGAGAGAGAGGGATGTAAGGAGAGAGAGAGGGGAGGGAGGCAGCCTACACAATATACACACAGAGGTACACACAGTGAAGGTGATGTTGCTATAGACTAAATGAAAAATGGTACAGATATTTATAATAGTGTTAATGGTAACCATCGTAATGTTAATGATTATAATAACAATAATAACAATAAGACTAGCAACAATAGTCGTTGCAGCAGAGGGTGTCGAGCAGGAACACGGGGGCAGCAGGTGACCCGCAGCCACAGATCCAGACTCCACAGCTCCAGAGCCAGAAAACCTGCAGGAAGTGATAGGAGGAGAGAGGAGAGAGACGAGAAAGTACAAGACTACCAGAAAGGGGAGAAGTTGTGTTAGTAACATGCAATAATGGGATGAGGTTGCATACAGAGGGAGAGAAAGTAGAGGAGAGAGGAGCTCAGTGCATCTTATTATCAGAAAACACTCCATGAACTTTCATTGTTATGCAGATGATACTCAGTTAAGCTCCAAATATGCCTTCAGGATGTTAAAACATGGATGACCTGTAATTTTCAAATGGTAAACTCAGATAAAGCTGAAGTTTATGTTCTGGGGCCTAAGCACCTCCGCATCGCCCTGGCCTCCAGCACCACTGTGAAGAATCTCTGAGTTGTCTTTGATCAAGTTGTTTAACTCTCACATTAAGTAAATTTCAAGGACCGCCTTTTTTCACCTACGTAATACTGCAAAAATCGGGAACATCCTATCTAACAATAATGCAGAAAGACTTGTCAGTGCATTTGTTACTTCTAGGCTTAATTACTGCAATTCCTTCTTATCAGGCTACTTGAAAAAATCCATTAAGACTGTTCAGCTGATGCAGAATGCTGCACGTGTGTTCTGACAGGAACCAGGAAAAGAGATGTGTCTGAAATCCCCTCTCATTCACTACTCCCTACCCCCTATGTAGGAAGTTTATGTAGAGCACTATATAGTGAGCTCACTCGCATTATTAAAACAACACTTTTGGACACTACCCCGATCGTTATTTCGGCGCTGTTAATTACGTCATTGCCGTAGGACAATCAGTTTTTTCTATCAGCGCAGTGCATGATGGTATATATGGCTTGGTTAGTGACCATCGGTTGTACACTACTTTTCAAAATGCATTCTGGGATACATTGAGTGGACTATATAATGTATAATAATTATCACGATACATTTGGACAGCACTACAAAATGGCGAGCTCACTATATAGTCCACTATATAGTGAGTAGCGGGTGATTTTAGCTTCTCTGCTTTGGCTTCTTGTAAAATCCAGAATAGAATTTAAAATCCTTCTAAAACTGAGTGAGCGAGGTTATTATGCCTCTAAGCAATCATGCAAATCATTTTGCTGAGCACATAATTCTTTTTGGCTCAAATTATTGATAATGATGCAATGTTATCATTACTGACAGAAATATGCCAAAACTGCCAAATAAGACCCACATTGTAAAGAAAGGAACAGACACATATTTACCACATCAACAATTCTAATCATAAAACAACTTCAGCGTGAGTGTGCTGGATAGAAATATTTGGCTGTTTTGCACAAAAGTTTAAATCAGTGGTGCAATGTCTGCTGTGCGTTGTGTGTTAAGTCAGCAGACTTTTCTATTAGGATTCAAGTAAATTGTTTATCATTTATTGAGTTTCATTTTCTCAACAACACGTTTGTAACAGAGATGATTATCAGTGCACTTCAGACAATTCTCACAATGTAACTTGTTAAAAGAACAGACACATCAGAAATACAGCATTTCTATATCTTTATTTTTTGACGTGTTCTTGTGCACAGCCAACAATAAATATATGAATACTTTGGCTTGAACATTTGACCGGCATCAAGTCCACAAACACCTACAGTGAGAGGAGCACACACCATGAAGGGCGGAGTATATAAAGCAACACAAACACACACACACAGATTTCACAATACACTTGATCTTGGTAAATAAAGTGAGATAGATTCATAAAGCCTGTGTTTAACAGAACATCTTAAGAGAAGGGGGACTCGGGGATTAACCAGCATCAGCAAAATCACAAAATCATTCATTTGATACACATAAATTACATTTTAGGCAGCAAGAGGCACCCACTCATAAAATGGCTGATTAAAGTTTGATAGAAGACAAAAAAATGTGAGACAGAAAAAAAATCTGCCACACAAGTCTTTGTCAAGATGTTGTGAGGCAAATGCCTGTCACACACTACATAGCATGAAATGTCCTCTGCCCAGCCAGGGGGGTTGTTTTATTAATCTTGGCTGAAGTCACCATGAAAACAGTCAACAGTCAACTTCAGCAGAAACTTAAAACCATCATTAACTCTCATGTTATTGGCTGAGTGCTGAGCATATGACTGTACTCACGATTGGCTTACATGGTACTATGGCTACAGACAGGGTAGTGGCTGCACAGTTCATTTAAAGCTGAGGAACCACCTAAAACATAGATCAGATCTCTCATGAAATGGCTTTCCTGCAGTCACTTCAGTAATCAATCTTATTTAGTTAACAGTGTGAACATACAATGTATGAAACTGATTGAAATAAACTAAAATTGATTGTTTTACTTCACTGATATGGTTCAGCTATCAGTCATTAAGCAATGGATTTGATTTGTCTAACAGAAAGAAAAACAGCTCGGATTTACAAATGTTTGGGGTGTTGTAAACATGCTCTCCATTTGTCAACATTCTCAGTGTAATAAGAGTGAAACAAGGAGATGCTCGTATTCTTTTGAGTAGGATGGGCACATAAAGCTACTGTTCAGTGGAGTGACAACACAGGCTGATAACAAATAATGAAAACGGATTGTTTAAAGTAAAATCAAAGATATGCCTTTCGAAGTGGACCTTTCCAATACAGAGCACACTCCTGTGTAAGAGCCTATACTGTTTCTAGAAAGCTGGGGAACACAATATGTCCCTGTCTAGTCTGACCTACACAACAGTGACCTGAGACACAGGTCACACATTAAAAAATGGACTTTTAAGACTCTGTGTGGTTGATGATGTATTGAGATCTTTGAATTTTAAGTACTAATACCACAATGTAAAAATACTCTGTTACAAGTTTTGCATTGACATGTTTAATTAATTAAAAGAGGAAAATCTAGAAACATTACTACAGTCTTAAAAGCAGTATAATGTCCCTGTTATATTTCTATCAGATTATTATTTCTCATGCATTAATGTAAAGCAGGATGTTGCTGCTTTAGGTGTTGAGCTGAAGCTCATTCTGAACTATTTAGTATCGGACTGCAGCTAATGATTACTTTCATTCTGAATCAATCTGTCTGATAATTTTCCCCATTATTCGATTCATTGCTTGCATTGTAAAGACTCTGAAAACAGTGAGAAATGCGGTGTGAGTTACCCAGAGTCCAAAGTGACAGCTTCACAGTGCTTGTTGTGTCCAACCAACAGTCCAAACCTCAGCATGATGAAAACTAAATTAAAATAAGGAAAAGCAGAAAATTCTAACATTTGTGAAGTGGGAACCAGGAAATGTTTTTGCATGAAAAATGACAATTACGAAAATTTATATTCTGTCAATTGCTTAACCAACTAATCATTTCAGCTGTCCTCACATTTTTATGTTTTGTGTCCCAAAATCTGAATTTTTTGTTAAAATAACTAGTAACTAAACATAAACAAACAAGAAAAACCGTTTGTAGCCGTTTGTACACAGAGGCTGAGAAAATAAGAAATGAAATGCATCATTAAAGAACATGAACTGCTTCAGACGTGCGTTGCTCCAGCTGCATTGGAAGCCAAATGTAGCTCCACATCCAGTGGACATTTCTTGAGAGGTCAGTTTCCTGCTGCTTCATGACAACAAACGTAATGTGACTCTGCTGCATCTGAGGAATCAGTGTGGTGATCTGGATTGTGAATTTCATGTTGCTGCTGAGGAGCTCTTGTTACCTTGTGTTCCCCAGCTTTCTAGCTTCATATTGACTCTGACCCACTCAACTAAACCAGCTCCGATGATTGCCATTTTGTCATGATGAAAGGAGGGTTTACCGTCTGATATCAGAGGCTGCTCCAGGACGGCTGAGTTATGTATTATGGAGTGTGCACCCTGTTTAACACAGAAACTGGAAGATATAAACAATTGACTATGTTTGATGGAGATTACATTCAGATGTGTGCACAGAAGGACACTTGTAGAGGTATTCTTGGCACAGGCTCAATGTTTAAACCCAACATCTTCATCCTCTCCTCCTCTCTCCAGCCTGCTGCAGTTCTAGCAGTAGGGCGGCCTGATCTAGGTTCTGGTTTAATCCCCTGACGTACCCCTGAGCCAGGGTTCCAAATCCATGTAAATATACACAAACTAGGACAAGCTAAATACTTCGTTCCAATACAGAGGCAAACTGATTATAACAAGTCAATATGCAACACTGGGACAATGTGTCCAGGTCAGTAAGCCTCATATACTCAGTCTGCACAGACCACAGTGTGTGACAGCTGCTCTATTCTAGAAACATGGCCTACAGAGCTGTATGCTTCCCTCTTCAGGGGCTAAAGCAGATGGAGGCGAGCACAGTGCTGCATCCAGGAGCCATGAAACTGAGAGCAGACCATCAGCATCCTGCACCACAGATCCCATTGGTCCAGTCCTGGATAACACCAGACTTCACCAGCTTCATCAAGAACTCCTTCTCTTTAGATATGTTGTGAGTCCAGGACTGAAGAGAGGACAGAAACACATAGGCATAAGACTTACAAAGCTTATAGAGCTGGCTCAGGTGAGTCCTGAACCATCCCTTAGTTTGCTGCTATAGGCTAGACTGCGGAGGAACTTTCCATGATGCACTGAGCTCCTCTCTCCTCCTCTCACTCCTCTCACTCTCTACCTATATGCATTCTTATCCCATTAATGCATGTTTCTAACTCCACTTGTTCCCTTTTGCGTAGTCTTGTGCTTTCTTGTCCCTCTCGTTATCTGGAGCAGTGGGGTCTGGATCTGTGGTTGCGGGTTTCCTGCTGCTCCCATTATTATTAGTCCCATTATTATTATGATTAATATTTCTATCATTATTAGTACTATTATTAATTTTCATTCATGTGCCACTACCACCTTTACTGTTGTTTTGGTATATGTGTGGATATTGTGTTGGGCTTCTCTCTCTTTGTCATGAACAGGACAGGATCGTAGGTTCCCGGGAGGTCTGGTGTAGCTAGCACACTAAACTCATACAACAGATGCATGCTGGGGTCTAGTTAAAATGCTCATGGTGGATACTGCAGCAGTGACTTCTACATTCCTGTCTATCTTCAGTGACGTGTGTGAGGCCTGTCTGCTGTTAACACTCCCTGTCACACCTGTGAGTGCTCATTCAGCTCAACATTTTTGGAAACAATCTGAGGATTCACTCCCTGCGTTCAACGTAGCTTTGTGTGTGTGTGTGTGTGTGTGTGTGTGTGTGTGTGTGTGTGTGTGTGTGTGTGTACACTCTACACTGTTGCTTTGTGTGTTTGTGACAGCAGCCTCTGTGGAGTCTATACTGTTTATACATCTGTGTAGTTTTCTTATACTATTCCTAGAAGATATACATTTGTATATATTTGTATATTTGATATTCATGTTATGTCAAAAAAGGGTTAGGGTCATTTTTTGGTAATTGTGTACTGCTACTCTAAGAGAGCCAGGAGTCGAGGCAAGACCATATACTGTACAGAACATGGATGTAGGATCCATGGGATTCTGAAGAACCGTTGTGAAGCTCAATGAGGGCAACTGCTCATAGCAACTGCTGTAGTGGATGGAATATGGAAAATAAACCTCAGGAACATCCTCATTTCTAAAGAAAGGCCAGTGAAAGAAATGCTGAATGACAGATTGCATTGAGTACAAGTCGACAATATCTGAGCTACATGCCAGCAACCTCTCTGAAATCAGGTGAGGTGATCATCGGCATCATTAATTTAGAGTGAAACCCACAATTCTGGTGGTGTTTTTAAACAGACTAAAGACAAAACTACTCAGAGAGGTACATAAAGTATATTCTTTGGCTGATAAACAAGCAGGCCTATTATCAGCCAGACAATACAGTGAGGAAAATAAGTATTTGAACACCCTGCTATTTTGCAAGTTCTCCCACTTAGAAATCATGGAGGGGTCTGAAATTGTCATCGTAGGTGCATGTCCACTGTGAGAGACATAATCTAAAAAAAATAATCCAGAAATCACAATGTATGATTTTTTTAACTATTTATTTGTATGATACAGCTGCAAATAAGTATTTGAACACCTGTCTATCAGCTAGAATTCTGACTCTCAAAGACCTGTTAGTCTGCCTTCAAAATGTCCACCTCCACTCCATTTATTATCCTAAATTAGATGCACCGGTTTGAGGTCATTAGCTGCATAAAGACACCTGTCCACCCCATACAATCAGATTCATAAGAATCCAAATACTAACATGGCCAAGACCAAAGAGCTGTCCAAAGACACTAGAGACAAAAGCTTGGTGAAAAAAGGTCCACTGTTGGAGCAATCATTAGAAAATGGAAGAAGCTAAACATGACTGTCAATCTCCCTCGGACTGGGGCTCCATGCAAGATCTCACCTCGTGGGGTCTCAATGATCCTAAGAAAGGTGAGAAATCAGCCCAGAACTACACGGGAGGAGCTGGTCAATGACTTGAAAAGAGCTGGGACCACCGTTTCCAAGGTTACTGTTGGTAATACACTAAGACATCATGGTTTGAAATCACGCATGGCACGGAAGGTTCCCCTGCTTAAACCAGGACATGTCAAGGCCCGTCTTCAGTTTGCCAATGACCATTTGGATGATCCAGAGGATGAGATGAGACCAAAATAGAACTTTTTGGTCATAATTCCACTAACTGTGTTTGGAGGAAGAAGAATGATGAGTACCATCCCAAGAACACCATCCCTACTGTGAAGCATGGGGGTGGTAGCATCATGCTTTGGGGGTGTTTTTCTGCACATGGGACTGGGCGACTGCACTGTATTAAGGAGAGGATGACCGGGGCCATGTATTGCAAGATTTTGGGGAACAACCTCCTTCCCTCAGTTAGAGCATTGAAGATGGGTCGAGGCTGGGTCTTCCAACATGACAATGACCCGAAGCACACAGCCAGGATAACCAAGGAGTGGCTCTGTAAGAAGCATATCAAGGTTCTGGCGTGGCCTAGCCAGTCTCCAGACCTAAACCCAATAGAGAATCTTTGCAGGGAGCTCAAACTCCATGTTTCTCAGCGACAGCCCAGAAACCTGACTGATCTAGAGAGAAGATCTGTGTGGAGGAGTGGGCCAAAATCCCTCCTGCAGTGTGTGCAAACCTGGTGAAAAACTACAGGAAACGTTTGAGCTCTGTAATTGCAAACAAAGGCTACTGTACCAAATATTAACATTGATTTTCTCAGGTGTTCAAATACTTATTTGCAGCTGTATCATACAAATAAATAGTTAAAAAATCATACATTGTGATTTCTGGATTTTTTTTTTTTTTAGATTATGTCTCTCACAGTGGACATGCACCTACGATGACAATTTCAGACCCCTCCATGATTTCTAAGTGGGAGAACTTACAAAATAGCAGGGCGTTCAAATACTTATTTTCCTCACTGTAGTTCTTTGTTGTTTGGCCAGATAACAAAATCAACAATCATTGGCTACTGAGTAAATCTGCTGACTGTCATTATACTTGAAAAAAATCAACAGCCGTTGATTATTACTTTCACCTATTTCAACAACAACAAAAAAAAGTGTTAATGATTTAAGTTAGAATAACCCTATAACCCGATCTGAATCAATTAATATTGAGTATCTGCTGATCCAGAGTCCCGAGCCGATACTTATATTTCCTAGAGAATATATAGTAAGTGCGCAGCACACACTTCAAGTACTAAGTAATTATTAAAATCCAAATCAATCCAGTGTAGTATGCATGACAACTGAATAGCTCTGTATTGCATTACGAAATAAAATAAATATAAATAATCCTTTTGGCCTTGTCGCTGTCTCGAATTTCTGTCATTTTAAATTCCCCTGCTCTTTCACACGGAGCTCAGCGGAGTGGAGAGGCAGACTGCAGAGAGGTGGAGAGTTGACAACAGCTGCACTTGTGGTGTTGCTGTGAATGAAAGCTTTGCAAGTAAAACCACCTGTGTGACAGCTAAAACAAATAATTGGATCTTGCTTAATTTAGCCAATACCAATCTGTTACCAGTCTTTGAGATCATATCGGGATAATTTAAACTGTCACTCATGCAATTTGAATTTCTTTCAAATGTTTATTCAATATAAAAACAATGAGTCATTCATTTCTAATTCACATTTTGTAATTTACAAAAACTCAAAACAGGCTCATAAACATCATGGTGGATAATGCAACCTACCATTAAAAAGGATCAGTCTATGTGTGCTAATACAGGACTGTAGAAATTAGTGAATTTCCTCACTGTCTCAATTATACATGCCAGTGGGCGGGGCCAAGCAGCTCTGACCTGAAACACAAGTCATTGGCAGTCGGTGAAAATAAGTGGAAGGAGATTGCATGTCTGTCTCAATAACCTGGGCTAAGAGTGATTAATCAGTAGGATGGACACTGAAGTGGAGTGAAAGGCAACTTTTTGTATGTAGTGTGTACTACTCTCAAAAACCATCGCCCAGCAACGTTCCTACACTTGAGATTTCATACACATCCCAGGCCACTACTCAGCACGCTAGGTAAATCCCTCCTAGATTCCCGAGAGGCATTTTAAATGAGAGAAAGGTCACAGTAAACTGTTCCAGTGCAGCATAAACCTAGAAAACTTAATGTTGGTCGACAGGTTGGTCAGAATGCTAACAAATTTGGAGGTTGTGAATATCGTGTGGGAGTATCATCCATTAAGAGAAGAATGTGCAGGAAATAGTGGGTCACACACCTGTTGATGGAGGGGATGAATCATCAAGCTAAAGTGTAAATTTACCGCCTACAATTAGTAAGGTCAGACTGAGTCCTTATCAAATTTTGGCGACAAATAAATCTAGCAAAAACAGCCAATCAAAGCTTCTGTCAAATAACCACAATGTTTAAATTTTCAGCTGCTACACTCATTTCTCACTCTAATGTGTATTCTCGTCGCTTTGTAGGTAAGAAAATATAAACTATAATGACACTGCACAGGGCTTAAAGCAAGAAATGTGTTTGTGACAAAGATTGAGGGTAGGGGGCAAGAGCGTAACTTTGTGTTGAAAACTGACAGGGACACAGGGCACTACATACACTTAGCTCACAAAACATGAAGAAACACAATTCTGGGTTCACAAGAAGAAGATGAGAAGATAATTGTACACTGGTTTGATAAAATAATGTTCAATGTGGCGTCCTCCCCCAGAATATTTTTAGCATTAAAACAGTTCATTTCCTGCATTCTGGTAACATTTTCTGCCGCCACATATAATCAGTGCTTGAAGTGGAAAATATAGGTGCTGGGCAATATGAAAATGTTATCACGATAAAACATTTCACATCATTCAATATCGATTATTCTTACGATAAATGTCAAATCATTATAAGGCAGAATTTTGCTCCCGAGTGAAAGTTGAAGAAACCAGATGGTTAATTGTGGTTTTAAACTACTTTAATGTTCAGAACAAACACTTAATGCAAAACAGTGGATCCAGTGTTTCCCATGCATTCATTTATTTGTGGCGGCCCGCCATAATTTCAACGCTGACCACCACATATTGATTTTCTTTCTTTTTTTTTTTACTAGGCCTATTTTAAATCGTATTTGATTGCAGAGCACTGTAGGGCATTCACGCAGCACATCCTCTCGCTCGTCCCCTCGCTCGTCCCCTCTCTCTCTCTGCTCTCGTTCGCTCGTCCCTCTCTCTCCCTCATGAACGCCGCTGCACAAATCTGTCCAACACAATGCTGTCGGACACCCAGCTTAAAAAAAAGTTATTAACAAGCATGTAAGGAGCCTATCTAATAAGAAGAGCTAAGTTAACGTTAGAATACAGCTGGGTTGTCGAGGTTAGCACGTTGTTTATAGCTGGTGCCACAGTTACACTGTCATTCTGCGGGATCACTTAACAAATCTGAGGTAAAACATTCAAAAACAATTATTATTAAGTAAATTTCAATTAAGTAATCTTTTTTTCAGTCCCTTTTCCTCAACAAAGTAAAGTGCTGATTTGTTCGTGATTCAAATGAATTAAATCAAACACTTATGGAACAGTTGTTATATTGTTAGGCTTTTGAGAAACATTATATTGCATAATTATCATTATTGTTTTATTGCCCAGCTCTGCTGGTACTCCCCATTCACATGGGGGCTCACGGCTTCATGAAAGGTACCGAGCTTCTACCTGCTCCGTCTCTGCCGACAGAGATTAGCAAACAGGCGAGAATGGGAACAGATGAGCGCCACATAGAGTCCATTGGTACGCAAGAAAAGTCCCGGGACGCCAAAGAGTAAAATGTAGAAGTAACTTACTGGTATCGGTGGCCCACTTCAAGCACTGCCCATTATCAAAATTGACACCACTTATCTGTGAAGCCGTACTCCACTGGTGGATTACATGATACTGACAAAAATGGCCTTGTTACGTTGGCAAAGGTCCAGACGATCCTACACGAATACAAAAACGCCTTGTGCCAGAATTCCGGCACAGAGCCGGAGAACTTTAAGCCCTGCACTGCAGCTGCGTGTTTCATATGTTCACCTATCTGTGAAAGCAGTCAACAATGGGAGGAACTATTGCGCTGCTAAGTTTTATTCCTCTCAGAAAGTGGAAGCTAGTTAACTTAGTTTGCAAATGTTAGCACTGATTTAACATTGGCCGAGTCGTCAGCTCAGTGCTGTGCTCATCCTGCATTATAGAAAGTAGGGGGCTTGCCAGTGGTGATGACTTCTTAGCAAAAATTGTATGTAATTTCAGTTTGACTGTGAAGACATGGTTAAATAAAAAAACATTATCGTGTCCCTGGCAACCCAGCTAACCCTGGCCATCATATAAAACCGCGGTTGACTAAGCTTGTGGGCTGTAGTAGGTAGCGAAGTTTAAGTCTAATCTCCCACTCCTAATCTAACAACACAGGTGAGGGAGGTGTGGGTGGAGGCCAACAGTCCTATCTATGTAAAACTCTGTGCACCTCTGTATTCCCTACGCCACACCCATTTTTTAGCAATCCAATCAACTTGGAAGGATTTGATTTAATCATAACTATCACTTGCCCACATATTCTGGGCACATATTCATATTTTTGTTGCTAAAATCACTGAATTGACCCTGCCTATATTTGGGAGAGGCATCCATATATAGGACAAGCCTTTAATTCCTCTCACACAAAACTGAAATAGGCTACTATGAAACAGTTATTTATTTCAAACAGAATATTATTTGTATAAAAATGATCAAATAATATCAAATACACATCATTCATTTGATCTAGCTCCGACAGACGGCTTATGTAATTTTATTTTGTAGGCAGCAACGCAATGAAAACAACAACGGTGCAGGATGAGAAAAGCGTGGCAGAAGTTAGCAGACAGAGAGCGATGGACTTCACATGACAGGATGCACAACTTGGATTTTTATGAAAAGCTGTTTTTATACTTTTGATCGGTTGACCCTTACAGACTAAAGGAATATAAATAATTGAGGAATGGACACATTCGGACTTAACAAGCGCTTCAAAGGAAACGGGAGTCGGCACTTCATCTCTTGTACCTCAGCATGGGCTTGTTATTTCTGTTAAATTAAATGAACGATTGAATGGTGGAGAATCTAACAGATCTAACGATGTGTAGCATGTTCATACTGACATACAACATTAATATTTGTATTAACGATCTAAGCAGCTTAGAAGCAGCTAAAGCCGGTGACCCGGTAGGGTTTAAGAGGTTTCATACATCCAAAGAACTTCTATAAAAACCAGACCAGGCGTTTAATGGAGACCTGCATTTCTTTGTCAAAATGTGTTCCCACATCAGGGGAACACATTTTGGGACTCGGCTATTAATTGTTAAGTTTTACAGTACATGTCAACGTGGCTTAAAGAATTTTTAGTAGAGTTTTAATCTGCACTACAGAAAGCCTTGTGGTGTCTAGCATCAGTTTTAGAACCTATTGTGGAATCTTACTAAAACAGGTCTTTGGTTACCTCTTTAATAGCTGACATCCGGATCTTCTCATAATAGTGCAGAGGGGCATGAGGGGTGCTCATGTTGTAGCCAAATCCAGCCACAGCCACTTCATCACAGTTATGAAGGGCCATCGTTATGGCAACTGTCCCCAGGGTTGGGATATTCTGAAAATAAAGCAGAAATAAAGAGTTTGTATGAAACAGGTAACCAAACCATGACCTGCTTGTGAACGTACAGCAGAGGAGATTTATTACGCTATGTGGTTAGTGTGTGGATATTTTACAGATGTGAAATCTGAAGCATGAAGCATGGTTCTATTTATAACAGCCTAGTGCTAACAACGTTTTCAGGCTCTGTGTAGGTGCTCGGCTCACTGCAGCATCTGCTGTGTATTCACACAGGCCTTCATAATGCAAACAGACAGACAGCTACCAGAGCTCCAGTCTTGACCATTAACTCACCCCTGTGTGTGAAACAGCTCACTGTTCCTGCTACTTCTCTACCTAGAACTGTACAGAAACTGACTGGTAGGAAAACAACAGGCCTCTCACCCCTCTACCCATCTGTCCATTGTTGCGAGGTAAGCCAATTAGCTTGAAGGAGGCCTCCTGAATGAAGTAGGGGTTCAGGATGCGCATGTCGCTGGGCTCCCTTGGAACGTGCCTGGCCACTGATTTCCAGAACCCATCAGTGCTGCGCTGAGAGACAAAGAGTGAGCAATTACAGAGTGTGGTTAATGCAACCCTCATACTGACCAAAATATGCACACAATTGTCAACAAATGCAGTTTTACCATTGTCCACACTGAAACAATCAACGGCAATGTGCAAGTAATTTCATATAGAGTGACTGTATACATAACACCATATTGCTTTAGAGAAGTTAAAATTAGAAAGCCAAATAAATCTCATAAAGAATTAATCAAACAATAGCAAAATATTAGAAAAACTGCCAATGTATCAGTGGTGAACAAGAAAACAATCAGATGAATCAGATTCAGACTTTCATTTTTCCTTATTAATGTGATTTCGTTTCAAGAGCAGTAGTTTAAAGCTGTGTCAATCAATATTTTGTAAGTATAGATTTGGAATCAGAAGCATTTCATCTGGAATGGTGATGGTGCAGTGTATAAGACACATGCCTTGGGTGTGACAGATGGGGGTTCAATTCCAAGATACTTAACCAGTAGCTGCTCCAGAGGTGTGCGACCTCTGACACATGTAGCAATTATAAGTCACTTTGGACAGCATCAGCTAAATATAACAATAATCCAATGATGATATGTATTGTTAAAGCTGTCGCTCATTACGATGAACGCAAAGTTTATTAGAAATAATTCTAGGATAGTGGTGCTCTTCCGTTACAGCTTTTAACAAACTGTATCAAATTAGGGCTTTCTACCCACAGTCCCCTCCAAAAGTATTGCAACGGTAAGGCAAATCCCTTTGTTTTTGTTGTTCACTGAAGACATTTGGGTTTAAGATAAAAAGATGAGTATGAGACAAGAGTTCAGAATTTCAGCTCTCATTCTGTGGTATTCACATCTAGATGTGTTAAACAACTCAGGACACATCACCCTTTGTTTTGAAACCACTCATCAGCAGCAAGAATCAGAAGGCCAGATTGAAATTTGCAAAGTAGTACAGAGATGAGCCGCAATGGAACACAATCTTATGGACTGATGAGACCAAGATTAATCTCTAGCAAAGTGATGGAAAGGCCAAAGTGTGGAGAAAGAAAGGAACTCCTTATGATCCGAAGCATACAAGCTCACCTGTGAAGCATGGTGGAGGTAATGTCATGGCTTGGGCGTGCATGGCTGCTTCTAGAACAGGCTCATTAATATTTATTGATGATGGAACTGATGATGGTAGCAGCAGAATGAATTCACAAGTGGACAGAAACATTTTGTCTGTCAATTTACGGAGAAATGCATTGAAACTAATCGGGAGGAAGTTTATCATGCAGCAGGACAATGAGTCACAGCACACTGCCAACAAAACAAAGGACTTCATCAGGGGGAAAAGTGGAAGGTTTTAGACTGGTCAAGTCAATCACCTGACCTTAACCCAATAGAGCCTGCATTTCACCACCTCAAGAGGAGACTGGAGGGAGAAACACCCCGAAACAAACAAGAACTGAAAGAAGCTGCGGTAAAAGCCTGGAATAGCATCACAAATGAAGAATGCAAAAGTTTGGTGATGTCGGTGATGTAATTTAATATCGTCACTGCTTCTCAATGACCCCAAACATTGTTAGCATTTCTGTACTGTAAAAACACAAACGTTTTGGTCCTATTACAAATATTACAAGTATTTAACTCAGTATTGCATATGAGTTCATGTCATTCATTCATGTCACAACCTAGCTCTGTTTCTCTATCCTTATTTAGTTTACTTCTGTTCTAAAGGCAACAAAAAACAACATATTTATTGATGTCAAATGTCAGATGTATCACTTATCGAAAATGTTAATGCTGAATAAGACAATAGTAAGTAAATAGTGATCAGTTCTAACAACTATGTGGAAAACAATACCCAGAGCTGAGGCCTGGAGGATGGAAAAACAAGGGGAACAAACAAAGCCATCAGAGAAGGGAGCCCCTGGATCAGTATACCATTAACTAATTACCAGCTCTTTATGAACAGTTACTGGAATACCACCCTCCGGGTTTGCTCAGGTTTGTTGGAGTGAAGGGCTAGGAGAAGCCAAACAGAAAAATGTGCTATTAGCTTACTAGCATAGCTCTGCTACCCTGTTAGACTGTAAGCTCTTCACAGATAGATCAGATGGTAATCCTGTCTGACTGAGACCATTTTGCTCCTCTATCCGAGCTGGAAATGCAACACCTCTGCTCCGCAAACAGCAGATGAGGTCAAATGACAAGCATTTCCACATCCCTTTAATAACAGTATCAGTAGGTATGTTTACAAACATTTATCCTGGATAAATCTACACCAAGCAATATTAGTATACAGTGCCCTTCAAAAGAATTTGGCCCATTTTCTGATTTCTTCTATTTTGGCATTTTTGTCACACTTGTGTCACAATTGTTTCAGATTTTAAACTAAATTGAATGTGAGAAAAAGACAACCTGGGTAAACACAAATCCAGTTTTTAAATGATGATTACATTTACTGAAGGAAAATAGTTATCCAACACCTATGATATTAATTGTATGCAAATATATACAAGGAAACCCACTTTCATATCACCCACCACTCAAGTACATCCATACATAGTGGGATAGACAAGGGGTATGGCTTGTAAGCTGGTGCCATACCACACTGTGATGCTGCTATTGACAGTGGTCTCAATAGTGTACTGGCAGAAAGTGCAGAGTTGGTGCATAGTGCTTTTAATGGAATTCCATCCAATTACTGCCGAGACATTTGATGATTGCAGCAGAGGAAATGAGTCAGATGATAGCCAAAGTCAATTGAAATAATACTCTGGGAACCACAACAGTCTGTAAAAAAATACAGACATTAACATTATAAAAAAATGTATTTAAGTTTAAAAAAGGCAACAGCAAGAAAAACTACTTTAGGATATGATTTAACTACATAATTTTTATTTCTACTGGTTGGACTGAGAACATTTGGAATAGACATTCATTCATTCATTCATCCTTATCACTTTGTTGACTTTCCCACTAGCACCACCATGAGGATTAACTATTTTGGTTTACAGTGAAATGTTTCAACAACTATTGGTTAGACTGCCATAAAAGTTGGTGCACACACTTTGGTGATCCTTTGAATCTTTTATTTTGCACCATTGTTAAGTCAACATTTCAATGTTTTATAACCAAAAACCTGCAGTATTAACATTCCCTTCAGCCTCAGCTGTACGTTGTTTAGTGCTTATTAACTAATGTTAACACGCTAAACTAAGGTGTTAAACGTCAAATATGACCTGTTATCATCTTAGCATTGTCATTGTGATCATGTTAACATGCTGAGGGGTTAGCATTTAGCTCACTTGACAAAGATTCTGTATTACAGTGCACCCGGAAAGTATTCACAGTGTTTCACCTTTTCCACATTTTGTTATGTTACAGTGCTTGAAATGGGCCAAACGCACCGGCACTACCGGCACCTTGACATTTCACTCTTCGGCGTACCTGGACATCTCCCAAGCTGCCGGTGTTATGCCGAATTTTGCCTGCCTGTCGAAAATTGCATGCACCTCCAAATACTGCCTTTTAAACGCTATAACATTGTTTGTGGGGTTCATTAATGGTGATAATTGATTCAAAGTATACACTTAGTAGAAGTACCATTCCTTGACATTCAGTAAATATATGTGGTGATAACCGCGTTTGGATCAATGAGCAAAGTGTCTGAAAAGGACCTAAAGAGGTGGATGCATAATTTGGCAGGTAGCCCAAAATTGCAGATGTGAAACCTCCCACGGACCACGGTCCGAACCAAACAGACAAAATTTGGTCCAACGAAAAGAGGTAGTTTCGATCCAGATCAAACTGAACCATGGTTTGGTTAGTTTCTGGTGTGAAAACATTTTTGGATGGTTCAGACTTTCAGACTATTTCAGTTTGGTGGTTGACGTGTGAACCAGAAAAACAAATGCACGGAGAAATGCAGTGAAATAACGACACAATTATAAATCTCCTGTGATAGATCATCTTTTCAAACAGATGGCCACTATATATTGCTTCTTTGCATTGGCTTCCAGTAAAATCCAGAATAGAATTTAAAATCATTCTTCTTACCTACAAAGCTCTTAATGGTCAGGCACCATCTTATCTTAAAGAGCTCATAGTACCTTACTACCCCACCAGAGCACTGCGCTCCCAGAATGCAGGGTTACTTGTGGTTCCTAGAGTCTCCAAAAGTAGACTAGGAGCCAGAGCGTTCAGCTATCAAGCTCCTCTCCTGTGGAACCAGGTTCCAGTTTGGGTTCAGGAGGCAGACACCATCTCCACATTTAAGAGTAGGCTTAAGACTTTCCTCTTTGATAAAGCTTATAGTTAGGGCTGGCTCAGGTAGTCCTGAACCATCCCTTAGTTATGCTGCTATAGGCCTAGACTGCCGGGGGATTTCCCATGATGCACTGAGCTCCTCTCTCCTCTACTTTCTCTCCCTCTGTATGCAACCTTATCCCATTATTGCATGTTACTAACACAACTTCTCCCCTTTCTGGTAGTCTTGTGCTTTCTCGTCCCTCTCCTCTCTCCTCCTATCACTTCCTGCAGGTTTTCTGGCTCTGGAGCTGTGGAGTCTGGATCTGTGGCTGCGGGTCGCCTGCTGCCCCGTGTTCCTGCTCGACACCCTCTACTGCAACGACTATTGTTGCTAGTCTTATTGTTATTATAATCATTAACATTACGATGGTTACCATTAACACTATTATAAATATCTGTACCATTTTCATTTAGTTTATAGCAACATTACCTTCGCTGTCTGTACCTCTGTGTGTATATTGTGTAGGCTGCCTCCCTCCCCTCTCTCTCTTACATCCCTCTCTCTCTCTCTCTCTCTCTCTCTCTCTCTCTCTCTCTCTCTCTCTCTCTCTTTCTCTCTCTCTCTCTCTCTCACCCCAACCGGTCGAGGCAGATGGCCGCCCACCCTGAGCCATGGTTCTGCTCGAGGTTTCTGCCTCTTAAAAGGAAGTTTTTCCTTGCCTCTGTCGCCTAGTGCTTGCTCTTGGTGGGAACTGTTGGGCTTCTGTAAATATCATCACAGAGTACGGTCTAGACCTGCTC